AGATGGGGTTGGAACTAAGGAAGCTAGGATGTTGTCTGTTAGTTGAATGGAGTCCTGGAATATGTGGCTTAGGTTCTTCACTAGCAGAAGACATATGGAGAATTTCTTACAGACTAACTCTGCGAGTGGGGCAGGTGGTCCTGGATAATTTAACGTCAGCTATGGTAGGTCACTGTAAGCAAAGAGACGTCAATGGGTGTGGAACACTGCCCTAATTATGGAACAAGTACAGTGGGCAGAAGCAGGAGAGACAGCTTCCTTTCTGCCTGGCTTTTTGCTTCTGCTCTCCAGTATATCTGAAGGCCAGATGGGCAAGGTGGAGCAATTAGCAAAACCTTTAGCCAATAGGCTCCAGCTGCCTTTCCACAGGGAAGGAGCAGAGAGGGGAGGAGCCTGGAAGAGGGGGCTGGGTGCCAGAATCTTCTCTATACATTGGCTCCCTGCCTGACAGACAGAAGGAGGAACACCCAGTGTCTGCACTGGCAGAAGCAGCATCCCAGACAATTGAAATTCAAACCATGCCAAGTTATAATTCGAAAAGCAAGTAAGGTCTTCATAGGCCAGTAAAAACATTAAATAAGAGTTCAAAGTATGAAAAATTAATAAAACAGCTTGTTTTTGCAATAAGATCAATTTGTAGGGACAAATTGAAAGTGAAAAAGAAAAACCATACAAAGAATGACTCTTGGCATAAAAATCTAATGCAGAGAACTATTACTCAACTGTGGGGGTTTTTAAAAAGGCATTCAAGAGGCCTAAGAAAATATTTAAAATGAATACATATCAAATGACATACATTGTCTCTTCTGATTCACCCATAACATAGGAAAGCCCAATAGCTATACCTGTGTTATAGACACCCACTATCTGTCACAAACCACTGAACATCCATGTCTACACAGAGTAAGCTCTTGCAAATGATCAACCCACATCCCTTGTTTTTAAAACAGCCCCTCTTTATTAGTACATGAGTGTGTGGGGGAGAGAAGGGAAGTGTAAGCCACCACACTAGTCCCAAAATAGTTAACTGTGATGCTCTTTAAAAGTTCAATTCATTTAGCTCTAATCACACTTTCTGCTATCCAGCCCAGAAAGCTTATTGTTGAAAACCTAGAGGACATTCCTAATGGAATATGTTTTGCCTATGGGCCAGGTGCTTCCATCCCCTCATGCAGACGGAGAGGAGCAAAAGGATATTGAGAAATAAGTGGCTCCATTGCACACTTCTCTTCCCATATTGCTGAGAGCCCTTTGAAGCCCCTCCATGTAAATGTAGTACAGACATAAGAACTGCCATACTAGGTCAGACCACGGTCCATTTTGCCCAGTATCCGGTCTCCAACAGTGGCCGTTCTACAGCTTCATTAGGACTGTACAGAACAGAGCAATTACGAGAGCAATCCAGCCCTGTCTTCCAGTAGTCAGAGGTTTAGGGTCACCTCAAGCATGGGGCTACATCCCTGACCATCTTAACTAATAGCCATTTATAGGCCTATCCTCCATGAATTTACCCAGTTCTTTTGGGAACCCAGTTATACTTTGGCCATCACAACATCCTATGGCAATGAGTTCCACAGGTTAGCTGTGTATTTTGTGAATAAGTACTTCCTGTTTGTATTAAATCTACTGCCTCTTTATTTCGTTTGGCAATGGCAGGTTTTTGCATTGTGTGAAAGGGTTATATCACTTCTCTATTCATTTTCTCCACACCATTCATGAATTTATACACCTCCATCATATTCCACTTTACTCAGTTCTTTTCTAAGCTTATCAGCCCTAAATCTTTTCAGTCTGTCTTCATATGGAAGCTGTTGCATACCCTTGACCATCTTTTTCCACTACTCTGAAACTCTACAGGAAGCAGAGCTGACATTTAAACACATGCTCTCCTCTGGACTCATGCAAGTTTTCTATCGGAAATACACATGGTAGTTAAAGCTTGCATTAACTCTACTCTGTGGCTTCTATTCCCAGTGGAGCAGGGAGGTAATACACAGCTATGGTGGAATACCAATGGACTATACCACTCCTAACATAACCCTGATGCCAGAAGAAAATGGATCCAGACAGCTTCATGGAAAAGGCTAACCCAGGATCCACACACCAGTGCTCTAACATCTCTCTGGACCCTTGGGATTTGCATGCAGCACACCTCATCTGTGAGTTCACAACCCCACCCCTCCATCACCAATATTTAAAAGGACTTTGCAACTCCTGTTTTGCAAGGCAAACTTCAGAGTTCCCACAGCATTATTTTGTTTATTACAGCAGCACCTAGAAGCCCCAACTGAGATCAGGCCCCCACTGTGGGGGACACTATATAAACACAATAAGAAACATTACCTCACACTGGGTTCCCTCTAAGCCCCCCACAGAGGGGAATATCAAGGTCTGCATCTGGTCCCACCAGTCTGAAAGCTCAGTTTACTTCAACCAACCTTCATAGAGTTCCATGATGTACACACACAGCTTCTCCGTTATCCCACCCTGAGGTGCTACTACTTGTATTAGTAAGTACAACTTGTATAAGCAAGGGTTTACGAAATCAGACTAAATGTCCATAAAAACACAGATCTTTGAATTCAAGATGCTATTTTAATCATCATTTCTACAGAAGGGGCAACATGAATGGTCATGACCAATCTTCTGACATACTTTCTTTTTCTCCAGCATAAGAAATCGTACTTTAGTACGTTGTATATACCGCCACCGATTTAGATCAAAGAGGGGCCTTTAAAATATACTAGCCCTGTCAAAGTCTAGCTTTCAATGTGAAAGGCCAGTTGGCTACATTTTGGTAAATCAAATTCAAGGGATAATCTTGGGACACACCTTGTACAACCACTCTATGAACTATTCCTACTTTCAGTTAAAAAGTTGCACCACATTTTTTCCTTCAGTACTAACCTGTACACTTATGGAACGTAAGTATAGCAGCAAGATGAACAATATAAGACACATTTAAATAATTTATTAAAGAGATAGTTATTTTAAAATAAAGTCATGCAACTGGTAGTCACATACAAGACATTGTCCCCATAATAGTTTATAGGTGAATTCTTACAATATAGTTTAATGTGGCAGATCCTCAGCTGCTACATGTCAGCCCAGCTCTGTTATTTGAGTGGAGCTACACAGGTTTCCAGAAGCTGATGTAAAAAACTTTGAGTAAAATCTAAGCAGCATAAATTAGCAGTACATCTTTATACCTGAATTTGCTTCATATAATGAAAGCTCAATTCTTGTAACAACACTTGACATCAGAGGACTGATTTGTTGGACATATGTTCAAAAATCAAATTTAGATCTATATCAGCATTTCTTAGTGGTACAATGAAGGCTAACTTTTCCAGCACTATAACCTATGTGACGTCACTATCCCTACACTACCAGTGGAGATTTCCTCCTGAGAACACAGATCACGAAGATCCAACATATTATTATTGTGTTTTTGTTTGCTTCAAATGATTCACTTCAGTGTAGAATACTGGAATTACAGCAAGAATTCCTAAAGGTACTTGTAATGATGAAGCTCTCAGTGCTTTGCATAATTAGATCTATACAGTGTATGAATATAGAAAAAAAAAATCACACGGTAAGCGATACTCCTGAATTCCTATTCCAGTTCTAGGGCCTGATGCACCATGCACTTTTCATACATGAGCAATATCACTGAAATAAATTGGTAACTTTGCTTGAGCACCCCCATCTACATATAATTCTGCAGGCTCAGGCTTCTAGTCAGTGTCACTTTGCCATCAGCTCCATAGCTGAATTGTTTCTGTACAACAACGTAGAACAAGACATAAGCTAGGCTGAGAGGGGAAAGGAATGAAAGAAATCAGTGTGAAAACTGCTAAGAGGAGAATTGATAGAGATGCCGTTTGCAGCCCCCATAATTGTCAAAAGAAATGTGTATGTTATGCAAAGTCAGAAGTGAGCACTAACAAAATGCATCTGAAGTTCAAAAGCCACTCTGCAATTAATCAATTAAAAAAGCCACTGAGATGAATAATGCAAGCAGAGTGGGATACCAGATGGCAGAGTAGGAAAAATTCTAGGGAAGTTTCCAAAAGCACACCACAACCTCCAAGTGAGGAATGACCAAGGGTTCCCTTTAGGTATTTTTTATGCCATTGATGCTCTCTCATCATCTCATCCTTTAAAATCTTGGGATGAAAACACAGGGATAAGTTTGAGAAAGAAGTCAGAGCCATTAAACTCCTCTGCTGGAAGTATAAGGGCCACCTGGTAACAAAGCAGATGTATGATGGTCAAGAGAATTAAAATGGGCTGAGAACATTCTTCAGGACACTGAGAGCCACAAAAGATCCCATGGTAGAAGGAAGAGGAAGCAACACATTGATCTGACATCTGTAGTTCAGTTCCTAGATGCATGTATTATTAACTTCAGCTCACAATAACCACAGTTCTAAGGTGGAGTATAACTAAAATACATTTTTTTGTTGTTTTTTTTTTTAAAAGGACTTAAGACTACATTAGAAATTTATTAACAATAGATCTACTAATTAGTGTTACTATAGTTATAAAACAAATAGTGTCTGATCCATGCATTATAGTACAAAACTACACACACAAAGAAGTGAACTGCTTGAATTCTACTGATTTTTATGCCAGGATTATAGCAACATCATAACATTACTTTATCAAGCTGGTGGAATAGGGGACAAAAAGACATTTCATCTCCAAAAGTGCCCAAGCGCAAGGGCACACACACCCCTTTTCCACATAGCTCCTCTTCCCTATCTTAAAAAACAAAACCAGGAACAACCCAAACACTTCACAACAGCATATACAGCAATGCAGGCATCACCTTTCAGAATGTGTTAGTCAAAGATTCATTCACAAACAGTTAAATTAATCCAAAACTATTCCAAATTATAACAAGCAACTTCATATAAAACCAAAGGAAAACTGGAATAGTCATTTATTTGGATTTTGTTTTCACGTCTAGATTTGCCTTCATTTTCCACACTTACCTGGTCTTTTTCATGGGGTAGAAGGCTTACAGGTGGAAGAGAAGCTGGGAAAGCACTGGAATATTTTGGAGTTCCTTTACTGTCCAAACTACCATAATTCACCCTATATTGAGGTCCATCCTTCAGTAACCTCCCATTATTTACAGCACGCTTGGCCCCCAACCGTAATCTCTGCTGAAAGACAGGGTTGTTGAAAATACTTGCTAGGTCATTTTGACTTCTCAAATATTTCTCTATGTTTTTCAGAGAGGAGCCATTTGGTTCCTGAAGCCCTTCGATTGCTCTTCTCAATAGTTTATTCCAATCCACATTACGAAGCTCATTAGAGGCTCCTCTAGATCCCTTAACAGATTTAGGAAGAGTGCCAGGTTTAACAGATGAAAGCCGCCCAGGATTATCTGGGTCCTTGTAGGATGCAAGGCCTTTGTTGGTAACTTTAAGAATAGAGCCATCTTGAACACTTAGTTCCAACTGTTCTGAAACAGTTTTCTTATCTAATCCATGTGAAGCGCACACAGCATGACAAATTCTTTCTTCAGATGGCCTTTGCTTTTGCTTTTTAACCTTTTGTATAGCCTCAAGAATCCACTCTGTATAAAGTGGGTTTGCAAGTTTTACCATGGTTGACCAAGAATATCTTCCAGCCAAAAGTTACCCATAGAGGTTCCTCTTTATTCTTTTAACAAATCTTTCAAAGGTTATTCACAACTCTAAAACAATCAGAGAGTTCCACATGCTGTTTAGCAGCTTCTCATAAATATCCATCCTTCAGGAATCAGAAGAGACACAGAAACACGTGCTGACTGAAATTCCTTATCATTTTACCAACTTGGACGTCTAGAAAGACTGTTCCTGGTGGTACGGGTACATCCTTATCAAGGAAGGTAAAAGCTTTAGAGAGAGAAGAAAAGAAACAAACAATTAATGCTGAAATAGATACAAATTAGCAATAAAAATAATATTCTAGTGTCATTTTTTTTAGCTTGAAGATGGTCCAGTAACGAAGCCTCCATGTGACTTTTTAAAAACAGCACTTTATTTGCAAAATGTGTTTGAGAATTCCACACTTCCCTCCCCTTTTAGAAAGTGATCCACAGACTGCATAAATTTCTACTCATACCCAGTGTAACTGTAATTTTTAAGAGTCCCAATTCCCCAACCAATTACTCACTGCTTAGTTTTTAAAAGGATTCAATTCAGTGAAGTCTTTCCTGGTGGAACACTAGTGGTCAATAGACCTTCTTGAAGCCCACCACTGTAAAAAAGTAAACACCATACATATGCACTATAGTCTTGTAATTAATGAAGAAAGGATTAGCTGCACCTGTTAGGGAATTGGTTGATAAAGTGCCCTTTGTCAAACATTCCCTCCTTTTCAACAGGCTACAAAAATTAAAAACTACCTGTTTTGTTTGATTAGTTTATATATAGTTTAATCACAACCACCACCAGAACACAAATACTATATGACTGATAAAGTGCCCATAACAAGTATCAATGTCACAGTATGTACAGGGATAACCATACACCACTGAGCTACCATCACCTCTGAGGCTGAAAACAAGGGCCTACCTGTGCCAGCAATACCAGAGCTTCTTAGGAAAGAGGAACTTTGCCAATGGAGTGACAGGACGAGTCAGATAGGCATAATGTAATTACATTTATAATTCCTATTTTCAATATGAATTCACATGGTACAGTTAAGTCAAGTGTTCTATGTGCCATTTATCTGTGGCATTTGTCTCAAGACACAAATTGCCTCAGTTTCTTCTATTAAGTGAGTGATTACATGGCCTCCAAAGTTAGCTGAAGTTTAGAATACCATAAATAGTTTCTTGGTAAGGTGTAGACTCATTTTGTGTCAAGGTGTTAAGCAAATAAATATACCCATACACGGAGATGAAAATATACTTAATTGTTAAGATTATTCTGTCTCATGATGTAATCTTCAAATCTTAAAAATAGGTGTTTAAAAAAAGTTAACCGACTACGTCTGAGGTCATGCCCTATTATATGCCAGCTTTAAACAACAAGCACCACTTGATAGGATTAATAGTTTGATAAGAGATAAAGTAGAAAATAATAAATACCACCACATGGAACAGAACTCAACATTTAAACTGATTGTTCTTTTGAAAAGTAGAAGATTCTCCAATTCTCCAGAAAAATCTAAATTTAAACAAATATACATGTGTCAGCTGTTGAGGCAGTACACAATGACTCAACAGCAAAGTGCAAAGCCAATATTAATATCTCATGTAAAAAAAGTGGCTTTTGCAATCAAACCTGTCTATCCAATAAGCAGCTCACCTTGTTCTTTTAAATATAAATATTCTTGATCTACAATACCACTGAAAATTGAGTATATGGCATACTGTATTACCAGAAAATGGAATTGCAATTCCACAGGTCACACTTATCTAGCAGTTGTAATTATTCTAATCTTCTTACAAGGTTGTAAGTAATTTTCAAGAGGAGCAAAATAGGCATGTGTTGGGTCTTACATTTTTCTTCTTTCTTTAAGTTTCAACTCCAGATCAGGTCTCATGTGGTACGGCCCAGCAGGATTAAATAGTGGAAGTGTGGCCAGTTACTGATTAATTTAAATGGCTCTAAACCAGAGGTTCTCAAACCATGGTCCGTGGACCACCAGTGGTCTGCAAGCTCCATTCAGGTGGTCCGCGGATAGTTCCCTCTAAGATGAGACAATGAAGGGTTCACCCACCTAATTCTTGCAGCCGCGCAGGCATGGCTCCATAAATTAGGTGCCTGGACCCTGGAGAAGACACATGTAAGGTGAGGTGGTGGTGGCCTTGGGAGAAATAGGGGGTAGGTGGGAGGGGGCAGTGCGCAGTGGGATGAGAAGAGGGGGCAAGGGGAATTTGGGATGTGCAGGGCTGTAGCGGCCAGAGAAAGAGGTGACTTTCTCCAGCTCCAGGGCTGCGGCTGCCAAGGAAAGACAGCCCTCCTTCCCTGCCTCAGCTCTGTGGCAGGGGAGAGACCCCCCTGCTTCCCAGCCCAGGGGCAGCTGTGGTGGGGGAGAGAGGGGAGACGCCCAGCTTGTGGGCTGCCATGGCGGGGAAGAGAGGGCACATCCATTGCATTAGAAAGGTAAGACTACTGATATTAAAATATGAGTTGTGTGCTTTTATTTGTAGGAAAAGAATTTTAATTATTATTAAAAAAAATTATATTTAGTGCTTTTATCCAAAGTACTTTACAATAGTTAACTAATGGTACAAACAACATTCGGAAAGATCATTAAGTGGCCCGCTGAGTCCCTCAGCAATTTTCAAGTGGTCCGTGAAAAAAAGTTTGAGAACCACAGCTTTAGACCCAAGCAAGAGTTTTTATGAATGGGTCATCCTTTAGGTTTGGTTGGGGCTTAAGTAGTTTTGGGATTACAAATATATATATATTTTTTTTAAATTCGGAATGTCTTTTTATTCTGGCCGTCTGTTGAATTTCTGTGTTTGTAATCCCAAAACTACTTAAGCCCCAACCAAACCTAAAGGATGACCCATTCATATATTTTTATATTTAGGATTTGGATATTGCACTGACTCCAACACTGAAGCTTGTTGATCTAAACAGACTGGCTAGTGAAAAGGTAGCCCCACCCATTCAAAGTTTAATTCAAGTCCACACTAGTACACAAGCCACTTACCTATTACTGTTTGAAAACTGTTTTGCACATTTGAGAACAGTTTTCAGACTGCTGTAGCTAGAAGTGTTTAAATATAAATAGATATTCCATTGTGGACAGGGTTAAGTTTAAGATAGAAAGTCTACTCATGGGAGCCATGCTCTGGTTAACTACACAAGGAAGGTTCTAATACAGTTTCATTTTGGAACCAATTAGCACATGGATGAGAACTGTGGGTGAAGACCATTTCAGACATAGCTGCAATGCTCAAATAGGGAGAGAGCTTTAGGCTGAAAACAGCCCATGCTTTAATTTTTGATAATTTCTGAACCCTGGAAACTGTCAAAAAAAAAAACCCCACAAGTAAATATACCTTAGAAGTCACACTAACACCATTTTATAGGGCTTGCCCATATCCTGGAATAAAATCTTGAGGGAATTCCTTGCAGTGGCTACATTTCTTTAAAAATAAAAGGAGAGAGGGAAAGTTGTGTGGCTCTACCATGGATTTTCCATGGGGGATAAAGGTCAGTGCCTTAATTAAGCCCTCAAAACCATAATTGCTGAGTCATACAAATTTGCCACATTTTAAATTTACTCAAGTTTATACTACTACATTAATGTCATATGAACTACCATATCATTTCCATTAAATTCCAAACCACACAGTGTAGGTTCTGTTCTAACCTCTGAGGATACTGATGAAGCATATCAATATAAATACTGTAACCTGTGGGTTACAGGAATTTTTATTAGCCAATGGCTGTGGAAGAGGTGTGTGCAAGCTATAGGCTACTGCTAATTCTGACTACACTGCTGTGAAACTCTTGCAGCGAGCAGCAGAGTCACAATTCCCTCTGTGTCACACACAACCTCCTGCATACTAGCACCTACTAAATCAACACTGGTGGAGTGTATCACCAGAAGTTCAGGAGAATTTCCACTGCATATGACAAGGTTTTCTCAATGGAGAAGCAAGACCTCTAAAATTTACTTGCTCCAGAGGTCCAGCAGAGCCTGAGTTTGTTAAGCTTCAAGGCAATACTTGTGCAGTCAGGCTGTTGAATGACTTGTTTAAAAAGTTAACAAATAATGAGTGTTATTCTGTTTGTTTGTCATGGAGTGTATTTAATTAGGCAAAGCACACAGATGCCTTCACAATGGGCACCAAAAAGGTCTACTGTAAATGAAATACTTAATAGCAAACATTCTCCCCAGAACATAACCCAGTTCAGAGCTTTTATGTCTGGCTTGCCTTACTTTGTAGAAGTTCTAACTTTTTTTTTTTTTTTTTTTTTTATTAAAAAAAAATTCAGAAATTGGACATATTGGTAGCAATTATTAAGCCAAGTCTAAGACAACCAAAAATCAGATATAGTCTTTCAGATTCTATCCCCCAGTACATACTCAGCAAAATATGACTCCAAGAGTCTTTTCAAAGTTAAAACAAGTGAATATTGCAAGATTCAAAATAAAGCTACAATTAATAATTTTGTGAACTGTGCTTCTCTAGCACTGCTAAATCTAGATCAAAGTCACACACATTTAAAACTCAAAACTGCAATTGTTATTTGGCTAAAAGTTTGTTAACAACTTCATTTTGTTATGTATAATATAATCACCAATCTTCTTGGTGTCCACATTAATCTTCCAAAAAAATTCATTATTAAATAATATTCTATTAAGACTTTAATAAGCTCCAACAAAGCAAGGATTAGTTTCACCACCATAATCTTAAATTGGGAGGGACCAGTTCCAAGTCTCTTGGTGGCAGGCATTAACTTAGTGGGTTTAGCTGCCTCACACTGTGTATTATGGTTTCAGTTTCTCAAATGCTCAATTATGCCTTGTTTTGAAAGTCATAGCAACTTTGATTACTTTTAAAATGCAGTATTCTAGCAGCCAAGTGGTTAGGAGTCTGTAATCCTTTATATGTTCACAAAACGTAGCCAGACATTAATACTGAGCATGCAGATACAGGAGCTCTGGAAAGCACAGTATCTTACTTTGCAGTACAAGAAAAGATCTCTCTGTTCAATGGTTGGCCTGTGTTTAAATCATAAGCTAAGCTAGATCCAAAATAGTTGCAAAATCATAACTTAATTTTTAGAATGAAGCTAAATTGTGAAAAACAAATCTACTGTAGGGCTAAAGCAAATTAAAGAATACCTTGACTGAACATGTCATTACAGGATTATAGGATTAGTGACTATACTCAAGAATGACATCTTCCTTTAGACCAAACTAGTATCTGGATCATTCAGAAACAATTCTAGATTTAGAAAACAAACTGTTTGCTTAAATGGAAAGAAGTTTTAATCTAGCTGTTCTTTTTAATAAGAAAAAACAACAAGCTTTTCACACAGAGATCTGGGGGGGAAAGAGCTCAAAGTTGTCCTCAGTTGCTTTCAATATTATGCACAAATAAAAGTTTTTAAAATATGATTTTAACAGAATAGATGGGGGGGAGGGGGAGAGAACAGAAAAGACAGCGAGTTGTGCAACCTACTGGTGACCTGTAAAGTACCATTTCATTCAGCTCCTTCCTACTTGCTCTGTTCAGAGACAGCAGAAGCAGCAGCAGGCCAGCTCTCTGCTGCAGCATCAGGGTCAGGTAAGGATTGCAGCAGGAGTGGAGAAAGAAGAGAAAACTGCCATTGCATTAAACAAACTCTCTTGGCCATACTCCTTTCATCCAGCTCATTATTTAGAATTATGCAGCCCATCAATTCTAATTCTTCCCTACTACCCCTCAATTAAAGATTCAAGACATAAGTTTCCTTCTCAAAATAAATACAGCCACAAAAGAAAAATCAGACAGGGGGACTCCCAGTTCATAAGACACTCTTTAAACTAAAATTATTCAGATCATGGAGGCAGTGATTTTTTTTCTCTTCACATGGTATATACCTTTAATTATGAAAAGTGAATGAACTAGTACTTGTATAAACTTTAGCTAACTGCAAAGGGAGAGGCACTAGCAACTTTAGCTGCAAGAAACAGCTTAAGGGGTTATTTAATTTCTTGGAGAGCAGCATGTGTAAATCAGGATCTGATTAAGTATTTGGATGCTGCAATACCCCACAAACCAGCGTAAGATCACATATTAAAACAGCAACATGACAGAAACAAGCACCAGCAGCAGTAAGCAGCATCACCACAACCTGACAGCAACAAAACTAAACGTTTGCCCTTCACACCTTCCCCCCTGCATATTTTTCAAGCACTGAACATGCTACTACTATGACAGTGATTTCAAGTCATCAGCGACTGGAAGGAGGGAATATTTTAACTCCCTGCTTAGTCTGGGGTTGATGCTTTTGTTGGAGATATATTTTTGAGGAACTGGGGGTAATTTAAAGGAAAAGTTTTTTTGCGAGGGGGGCAGAATTTGTAATTCTCAGTGAGATAAGTGGCAAGTTTTGGCAGGGGATTATTTTAAACTAAGTGTTTTCAAGGTGGAATTTTTGAGGTGGCATGTTTATTTTGAAATGCACAATATTTTTGCAACCTGGGGTGGGGAGGATGTATTGGCAAGTCTCAGTCGGCTATCGCAGGGGGATGCTTTATTGGGAAGGGAGATGAAGGGTGTCATTTTATTTTAATTTTTAAATCTCCCCCCCCCCCACCGCCGCATTTTAATGCACAAACGTTCTGCACGTTTTATCTGGCAGGGCTGCAGAACCGGGTGGGTGGGGAGGGCAACATCACTGTGCAGCTGTCCGCACATGAGGCGGTGCCTGTGTATGTGTGACATGCTCTCCCCTCCCCTGGGGGAGGGATGCTGTGGGGACAGATCTCCCCTCCCCCTCTCAGGGTACCACTCACCTCTGCTGGGATCAGGGCTGGGAGGGGGAGGAGCAACCTCCAGGTGGTGCTGCTGCTGCTGCTCCCCCTGCTGCTGGCTCTTCCCCCTGCTGCTGCTAGGCTGAGGCAGCTGCCGCCACTGCTGGTTCCCCTCCGCCCCCAGCTGCCGTACTCCCCCTGCTGCTGCTAGGCTCACCTAAGCCGCCGCCATTTTGTTTCACCCTGTTGTAGTTAACGTGAATCCGACATGACACTGATTACAGCCCAATGGAGTCTCATTAAAACCTTACCTACCCCCCCCCCCCCAGCCTCGCGCGCCCCGCCCACCGCCGCCCGGCATTGGGCCGCGCCGCACCAAGCTCATTGGCCGCTCCTCGCTGTCCATCACCAGCCCGCAGGAGCGGCGCACCCCGCCCAGCAGCCAGCCAGGCTCCCCATTGGAACGTGGGGCGTGCCAATCACGAGACACGCCCCTTCCCTCACAAGGAACCCCGCCTACCTGTCAAGGGGGAGGCACTGTGGACAACCATTAGCCGCTGCCGCCGCCAAACACCCGCAGGGCCCCGGCTAGCCCCTGGCCCAGCCTTGAACTCTACCGATTGGCAGCCGATTACTAGTTAGGGCGAGGAATCTCGCAACCTTGCCCTTCTATTGGCTGCCGCACCCGTCAATCTCGCCTACTTCCCACCCCCTCCCCCCCAGTCACCGACTACTCCTGAAGTTTGTTCGAGAGGTGAGCTCTGGCAAGCGACAACGACGGCCGCTCAGGGCGGGCGCGCGACACACACTAATACACAGCGTTAAATATTGAGCTTCATGCGCGTGCCACGGATCTTGCCACTCGTACGGGCGGGCGAGATAGACCCTGCGTGTTGTCTCAGCATAACCCTCCCGAGGTGCCTGGCACTAGCAGCGGCTTAGCGCGCACGGACGCAGCCCGCACCACGGAATGGAGGGGGTGAGGGGCACAATGACTCCCAGCTCCAGCGCCACATGCAGGTCCCTGCAAGTTTCCCCATGCAACGCACAAGGACTTCCCTGTCATCCCTTCTGCTAAGGAACGATTACAACCTACCCGTACAGGGTGGGCGCATGCAACACACAAAAAGCCAGCCACCCCCTGCCTTCCCTCCCCCACCCAACCCAGCCATCCCCTCCTCTGCAACATGCACAGGGAGGCTGCAATGCTTTACCGAGCATAAGTGTCTGCAAACACGTGCATCAGCCTCCAATGCAAAAAGAAAAAAAAAAGTACCCAGCTTACTGACAACCCCCTTGCACAGAGAGAGAGGAGGGAAAGGGGGTTATTATGGTAAATTGCAGCCTGTCACCTAATACAAAACAAAACCCATCGCATGCTCCCTGTTATTCCCCCCACCCCCACGTAAACTCCTATGAGTCTAACCTCTGGTGCAGGTTTCCCCCCTTTGCTTGCAATGACCTCCTTTCTCTGGCTGTGTGTGTTTCTGCAGCAGCGGTTCCTGCGGAATGTGCTGCCCCTGAAACGCGATCGCAGCTTCTCTCTCTCTCTCTCTCTCTCTCTCTCTCTCCTGGCTGCAACCAGAGCCAGGAACACAACAACAACACAACCTCCCCCTCACACATACACAGCGAGGAAACGCAGCCAGGAGAGACAGACAAGGAAGGGGGGGGGAGGTTGAGAGAATCCGAAGTTAATGGATTGATTGCATCAGTTACCTTTTCTAAACTCCTTTGCAAAAGGAAAAAAAAGAATAATATATAGAGAATACCTTGTCTCCCCTCCTCCTCTGTGGGGCTCGTCTTCTTACACTTACACACACACACAAAGAGGGGTGGGAGAGAGATCAGACACACAAAAATGGGTTGCAACCGTTCACATCAGGATGTGGGGAAGCAAAGGAAAAACAGAACAAATAATGACTATTATTAATTTTTTTTAAAACCCACCCTAAACCTCAAGCCTTCCTGATGCTAAATGGAGGCAGATTGGAGGACTGGTGCTAAAACACAGAACCTGAAAACAGCTAATTGAAAGGTTAATCTACATAGACTGTGACAGATGAGGTCCCTCCCCACTTTTCTCTCTGCTGCTGGAAAGTAGGAAATTGAGCTTTTTTAAAAAAAAAAAAAAAAAAAAAAGGAGGAAAAAAATTGAAGGTTGGAGGGGTTGTTTGTTTCTGATTATCAGTGCCAGTCTGGTTAGGTCTGGGTTACGTGCCAGGCATTAGGGGGGTTAGGTTTGGGGTGATTTGGTTGGAGTGGATGGTGGAACATGGTTATCATAAACATCTTTGGTGATTTTAAAGCATTCTGCAGGGCTGTCAAGCTGCTGAGATCATTTAAATGAGGGAAAATATATATAGGGAAATTTAAAATGTTTAAATAAAAAAACACATAGAGACTGCAAAATCCTTCATTATAAAATGCTTTAAAATTGCTTCAATCCATAATGAGGGAGTCTCCTGCACCCCACTTTCCCCACTCTGGGCAGGACTGTGTTAGAGGGAATCAAAATTACCGATGGAACAGAAAAAGGATGAGGAATTTGTGAATATTTCCCTCCCCTCAAATCTGATGTTTATCTGGTGAGATTAGTATAAGGACTTATTTTAGGGGACAGGGTGTCCTGATTTCTATGTGTATTGGGGTTATGGGAGGGCTACACTTGTGTTGGGTCCCATTTCCCACCCCCATTTTCATGCTGCAGTCTTGAGTGACATTGGCAAGAGCCAGACATCAGGTCAAAGCTTTCATACCTTCAGATGTTTGCTCAGCTATGGTTAGCAAACATCACACTTCACTATAGTCTAACATAATAGAATGTTACCTGCTGTGGTAGCATGTGATAGGGTGAAAGGTAACTTACTCCAGCATCTTTTCAAAAAGATCCTCCCTGTTTCAGATACTCAATTTGGGACTTGATCCTGCAAACACACACATGCTTAATGTTACTCACATGAGTAGGCCCATTTACTTCACTTTCTACACACTGTGGATGAAATGCTGCCCACAGGTGTTCCTCTGTAACCACAGACCCTCAAAATTTTGTGAAGTTCAGCTCTGGCTTAGTACCTGTACCCCAGAGGAAAAAAGAAAAGAAAGACCACTGCCTTCAGCGTGTGGATAGAAAATCACCTGTTCCAATAAATCAAGAAGGTCTTTCCCAGGGAGTAGATGCTCCCTATAGATCAGCAGGGGATCTAGACTAATGCTAAATATTAAGGTTTATTACAACTATTTCAGCAAGTCAGTTGTTTCAGATTGTGCATAAGACAGCTATGGTGTGTTGTTTTAGAGCCCTGTAAAATTGAGTGGGCTATTTACAGAAAGCCACTTGGTGAAAATTTTATTCCAGTCTATATCTATGGAAAAACATCTGTTGACTGAGGATTTTCTGTCAATGTTTTTATCTGCCCAAGTGCAGTATTACAAACACATGGTGGGAAATTGTATTTTGATCTAGTATTTGTTGGAGAATCTTGCTTTCAGCATCCACCACATTCGTGTAATATACAGGATTTGGTGATGCTTTAAAAATAGTTTAAAATTATTGGGAAATAATATAAATCATGAAAAGGGCTGTAGCACGGCCTCACATTTGGAACACTGTTCGGAATGTTGTGTCAACATTTCTATTGTAAACCCCTTTTTTCAGGACGTTTGCAACTTGGTTGGTGGTAAAAGAGAAAAAAATCTCTTGAGACTGAAACTTGGCATGACACATCTCAGTCCAGGAAACAAAACTCTGGGGAAAACTTGACAATGTGTTTGGCCATTTTGGATTTAAGAGTGTACGAAAGACATAAAAAACAGGATTGCTAGAAAGTTCGTGTTTTCAGATATTCCTCCTTCACCCCCCTTACCACACCCCAATTCTTCTCTATCTAGAAGGGCTTCTCTAAAGGAAATTTTTCAGGCTTCTAAACCATTAAATATTCTAGTTTTTTAGCACTTGAAAAGAAGGAGCATTCAAAACTATTTCATAAAAATATCCATGTCCAGGAATCTTTAATTGGGCAAAAGTTCCTAAAGGCGTCAGATTCTGCAACTGTTTATTCATGTTCTTAACTTTATGTATTTGAGGATGGTTTACATGATTCGTAAGTGTTGGAAGGTTTGGGGCCCAACTTAGTGTGTTTGCTGTACTGTTATTTCGCACATATTTTTTCCCCACTCAGATGTATTTCAGTCTGTGAGCTAAATATGGGATCCCTATGTTGTATTTAATTTGATCTAATCAGAGCAAATCATATCTTAATTAAAAACAATTGTTTTTAAATTGATATACACAAGGACATTAAGAATGTGACAGAAGCCAATAAAAGTAAAGAAATGTTTTCACCCATCTAACTGTGGGGGGTTTACATTCCTACAACTACTATTTGCAATGTTGTTGTTGCTGTGTTGGCCCCAGGATATGAGATAGACAAGGTAGGTGGAGTAATATCTTTTATTGGACCAACTTTTGTTGGTGAAAGACAAGCTTTTGAGCTCCACAGAGTAGAAGAGCTTGAAAGCTTGTCTCTTTCACCACCAGAAGTTGGTCCAATAAAAGATATTACCCCATCCCCCTCTTGTCTCTGATAACTATTAACACTAATGAGATACAATACCAAATAATGCCAAATAATTATGGTTCAATTCACCGTACCGTGTCAATTTCCTTCCCTTAATTATGATAATCCTAATACTTTTGTTTTTCTGTAAAAAATATAGGTAAAATGTCACATTTCCACCATTAGACCCATTTGTTTACACATATCTACATGTTTTATGTACTGTATGTCTTTAGGGTTATTGCAGAAATCCAGACACACTGCCCACCTGGGGGACACAAGCCAGTGCAAACAAGGATATAGTCAGGGCCTAATTTTTAGAAGTGCTGAGCATTCTCAGGGGCCACATACTTCTGTTGGAGCTGTGGATGCTCAGCAGCTCTGGCATCCAAGCCCTTCAGGCTGAACTATTCTCCTTGTAACCACAGTGTTATAGAAGTTTGAGCTCAGAGCTTAATCGGAAGCGCTACAATACTTGTGTTCAGACGTGTCTGTGAAGCATGTGTTGGGCATTATACAAATAATAATAATAAATTAGGGCCTGATCCTGCAATCTATGTAGGGGCTACTCCTTGAGGTCAGTGAGGCTACTCCTGTGTGTAGTTATTTCCACATGTAAGTAGGATCAGGGCCTTAATCTGTGGTGTAACTCCATTAAGATCAGTGTGGTTACACCAGGATGGATTTGTGTAACGGGGCTCAGGGAACCAGAGAAACAAGATGAAGCTGAAGTTTCAACCTTCACTTTAAACCTCTTTACTTTATTTGTGTCAAACAAACATCAGCTAAGGGCTGACAAATTAGCAACAGTTCTGAAATGTGAGGTCTCTATCAGCTAAATACACATGCTGCCCATTTGCAAAAGGCATGTCCTTCACCGAGTGTGTTTCTCTTCCTTGGAGTCATTATTGTCCATTATTTTTATATGAATTTAGAAAAAAAAAGGGGGGGGATACATCATTTTAATAATAGACCCCAATTTATCTCTTCTGGAGCTGTTAAGGGGTGAAATCCAGATCCCACTGAAGTAAATGGCAAAAGTCCCATTGACTTAAATTCAGCCACAATGTCACCCAAGACTTATTGTGTAATGACCATACATATACACATATCAGCAAATTCCACCTGAAGCTCTCCTGTCCCTGACTCAGGTCGTTGGCTGTAGTGACCTTGGGGATAAAGCTCGCTATAAGAGCTCAGTAAGTTACTTCTCTGTCCAGGAGTTTTGTAAGTGTAAGTGTCTCCATGGATCTGTCAGATACACAGATTCTGTAGCAACATCTCTTCTTCTGGTCTGCTTCACTGCCCGAGTTCAACAGCTAGGCTGTTGCCCTCACTTTGGCCTCGAGCCCCCACATAGATTTCTTTCTGGCCTGGAATAACTTAGCCCTTCTTAATTTCACCTCTGCTTTTCTGCAGCCTGTTACTTGCATTGTAACTGAACCTGAAAGAGTGATCCATATATATGAGACAATCGCTTTGAATGTGGATTTTACATTTCTTGTCTTATGTATGAGAATATATGGTATGCTTTATTATATGCACTATAGCATAATGGAACTCCGATCCCAGCCTTTAGGTTTCACCTCACACAAGTAATTAATAAATAATAATGAATATGCATAGTGAAATATTTATGAAACTATATCCTGGGCATGTGCAGTACTCACTTCTCAACATCAGCTAGCTCAGCCATTATACTTAAAATACTTAGATGATAGTATAAAATAATCACCTGCTGATACCTCATTTAGTTCTTTTGTTTGTTTCTAAATCCCTGAAACTAAGGGTTTACAGGAGAAATGCTGACACAGCCTTAGTTCAAGAATTATAATTGGTGTGATGCTATAATATGAGAATAACAATGTTTGTGCTGGATCAATTGCCATCCCATTGGGATAAAGAGTGACTTTTAATAATAAAATCACACTTCTGTAAC